TTATTATTACTTTAGTACATTTAATTCCTGAGCTTTGATGATTTATGTTTCTGAGTCAGTAAATGTTTAAACTGTTCCAGTTTCATGTGAAGCTGATTTACAGCTGGCTGTAATTACTGGACTCAAACAGAATTTAAATCTCTGCAAAACAAGAAAACCATCAGAAACTTTGTTCTTTATGTTTCTGTTACTTCATAAAAACATCAAAGTGTTTTTATGTTGAGCTGTAAACTCCCTCCAGGAGGCGCCGCTGAGCAGGTTTGTGTTTTTATATTCTGAATATGAAAACATCAATCCCAGGCAGATAAAAGACAAAACAACACAAACTAAAGTAGACTCCGCCCCCTCCACCTGTTACCATGGCAATACTCCACTTTCTGTTACCACGGAAACGGATCACAGGGAGCGCAGGACTGGGATCGCCATGACAACTGCTCGCTCAGACCGCAGACACGCCAAGGACCCGCCCACAAACTCACCTGTCAGGCTGTGATTGGAGGACTGAGGCACTTGGCCGTCGGCTGTTTTAATAAATATGGCAGCTAGTGTTTTATTAGGAAAAAAGAAGAAAATAAATATTCTGATAATGAAACCAGAGACGAGCGCCGAGTCGTTTTTTACAAATAAAACTGAACGTCAGGTCCAGTCCGGTTTTTATACGTTCTGATCATTTAAAACAGAGACAGTGGCTTCTCTCTGTAACACAAACAAAACTTAGAAGTTCAGCAAGTATACTAGGACCATGTACTTGTACTAGAACGTATACTGATTTAATACTTGAAAAGGTAAATTGGGACTGTGGCGGCCATCTTGAATTGTTTTCTCCACTGAGAGCTTCATTAAAATCACTGAACGTGGTAAACAGACGGTGGTTCTGAAAGTTGTGGTCCAGACCCCAGTGTGGGTCATGAAACAGAGTGGGGGGTCCTGAGATCCTCAGCAGCAGTTAATATAAGAAAACTGCAACTTGTGAAAAATCAGAGGATAAAATATTTGACTGATAAATGAAACGGTTTGTTTTAGATGTGTCTTTTCTCGCAGCAGGAACAGGTCTGGAGTTTCTCCCACTTTGATTCTCAGAAACTGAAGCTCTGCTTTCATCAGGATTATTTCTGATTCGTTTTTAAACTAATAACTTTCATAAATAAGAGTTTAGCTGAAACGTTTGTTCCTCATCAGAGCTGAACGTTCACTTCTTTTAGAAAACTTAGAGAGTTAAAGGGCCTGTGACATGCTTATACTATACAAAAAGTCAAATAAAACATGTTTATATTTAAGAAAATTAGCATAATACACACGATTTTACCCATTTTGTCTCATAACTGCATATTTTCTCTTGAATTTGGCTCAGCAAAGTGAAACAGGAAGTGACATCAAAGGGAACTCTTTAAGAAAAGAAACTCTCTAGACTTTGTTTATTGAAACAATCTCGCATCGCTCTGTTGCAGACATTCCCATCTGACATCACTTGCTGTTCCTTCACATGCAAATATCTCAACTGTTCATCTCAAGAGTGAGAAAGTTGTTTTGCAATATGTTATCAATGTTCTCTTTCCAAATACATTTATTTAATAATTTGATGTCACAGGCACTTTAAAACATGGAGTGAGACAGCTGGTAGTTAGTCCAGTGGGTCAGACCTTTAACTGTTGGAGCTGAAGGATCAAAGTTCAGTGGTTCAAATCCCACAAAGTTTCATTTCTTCTCTTCCACTCAGGTAACTGACTAAACTTAGGTTAGTAAAACCTTAACATGAGAGCTGGGAGTTAGTCTGCTGGTGAAGTCACCAGACTTTGGTGCAGAAGATCAGGAGTTCAAATCCCACCAAGT